TTTTCCTTTAGATTCTCTCACTTGTTGACGTGAGACACAGAATACTCATTCATGATTTATAGACTCTTCAACTTATTTGTTAAAAACAACTGTTGGAAGAAAATAAACTGACTTTGTTAAGAGTTGAGAAATTTTGCTAGTGAGAGAAGCACACCACCTGCCCTATCAATAGCTTCTGCAAGTATCACTCATAACAACAAGCTGTTCAGCTACCCAGGAGCCAGTCAGAAAGTTGTCAGGTTGATGGCCTTTGGCATCCATAACTGATCATAATTTCACAAACCAATCAGCAACCTCTTGCCAGTCAAAGCTCACATTGTACAAAGTCCCGGGAATCTGTACCTCTTCGTTCAAGCTTGGTCAAAGCAGCAGTGTAAACACAGCAGAGTTTCAATTAGTTGCTTCTGAAAAAAAGTACAGCAATTTCTTTGCTGTAGAACAGTCCTTTCCCTGTTCAAAAGTTACAAGAAATAAAAAATTTGTGTTCTTTACAAAACAAATGCTGGGAATACTCAGCGAGTCTGGTTAATGACTTTTCGGTTCCAGGGGATTCGCCTGGGGTCACAGAGGAATCATGAATGCGGGTAAAATTGGAAGGAGGAGAACAAGGTCACTGCACTTGTTGTTGGATAAAGATATTACTTCCAGTCAACCTCTGCATTTGAGAAAAAAATCTCTTGATTTCTTCAGGTTTCACTACATTGGTGATTCAGCTCGAGGGGGTCTTCATTACAATCAGTTCAGGCAACATTCATGTTATGTTTTTAAAAGACATATCGAGTCATGCTCTAACTGAGGGTGCCGAGGATCAGAGATCACCTCACACCAGCTTGCACAATTCAGAATACTCTCGCGTTCAATGTATGAAAAACGAGCCTACTGTTTCAGTCATGAGATGGCAGGCTTCCACTTAGTTCCTTCATGAGAAGTTCAAGGATAGACTCTTCAGCACAGTTAGAAAGAAGGAATGTTCATTTATGTACTACGTTTATTGCATCTCTCAGTAAAGTCCAAAATTATTTAGGTATTAGGAATTGGTTCAAAGATGAGATCACTGTTATCCAGTTAAATGTGCACTGACCTAACCTTCATTACTCAGTTCTTTGAGGAAAGGAGTTGGGAAGTCATGTGGAGGTTGTACAGGACATTGTTGAGGCCTCTTATGGGATACTGGGTCCAGTTGTGATTGCCCAATTATAGGAAGGATATTATTAAGCTGAAGAGGGCGCAGAAAAGATTTACCAGGATGTTGCCAGGTATGGAACGTTTGAGTTATAAAGAAAGGGTGGATCGGCTGGGACCTTTTTCACTGGACCATAGTAGGTTGCGACGCGACCTGATAGAAGTTTATAAAATAATGAGGCATATAGATAGAGTTAATGGTGGTTGTCATTTCAATACTACAAGACACATTTTAAGATGAGAGTAGAGAGATTTAAAAAAGACATGAGAGGCAATTTTTTTTTACATAAATGGTGGTTTGTGTGTGGAATGAACACACTGTGGAAGTGATGGATGTGGGTACAACTACAACGTTTAAAAGACATTTGAACAGGTACAGGAATAGCAAAGGTTTGGAGACTGACATTGGCCGGGAGCAGGCAGGTGGGGCTAGTTTAGTTTGGGATTTACGTTCAGCATGGACTGATCGCACCAAGAGATCTGTTTCCGTGCTGAATGACTCTATGACTCTCAATAGTAATGAAATGGATAGTTCATGTGGTTTTCGTAGTGTTGATTTTAGGGAAGATCAATGGCCAGGGTCAAACTTCCTGCTGCATTTTGCATATATCCATCAGGTCCTTAATGTACACCTAAGGCAGCCAACTGGCCTACCAACTCAATTAAGGATGCTGTCGAACTGACTATGACTACAGGTGACAATATAATACTGCTAATCTGTACTAAAATCTGAGCATGATTTAAACTGTACAACATGCATTGAGTTTAATATAATAATTTTCTCCACACCTATTGAATGACAGTGGGATCAAACTTAGCTGATCATGTCTACATGGTGAGTAGAATTTGGCAAAGGTGTGTGTTTTTATTAACAGAAATGATCATAAGAGCATAAGATATAGGAGCAGAATTAGGCCTTTCAGCAGATCGAGTCTGCTCTGGCATGTGATTGTGGCTGATATGTTTCTCAGCTCCATTCGCCTGTCTTCTCGTAATCTATTGATTCCCTTGCTAATCAGTCTGTGATAAGCATCAGTGAAGTTCGATTACAGTGTAAATGCAGTGTTGGATTGTTAGGCATGCACGTTTTGCAAGGGAATATGAGAAGAAAACAGGTCCTTTATTTGACAGAGTTCTTCATGTTTGTCACAGATGAAGCTGAATGGAGGTGACGCAGTTGTCATCAGAGAAGAAGGGAAAAGTAAATTATCTCTTGGGTTCAAACAGTTCAAACCTGATGACTTCCACCTTGGTTATTCTTGGACTAGGGTGAAAATACCAATTTTCAACTGGCAAGCTCTACGTCACTGTGATAGGTAGCACTTCTTTTCCTTTTGTTCTTTCCTGCTACCTTTCAGCGAAATGGATAGGTACATATTTGGAATGTACTGTTTTGTGAACATAATTTTGTAATCCACTTCTCTTTGTCTTTTTCTCCCCAGCCGTTGGGAGCGTTTTGGGGTTATTGGAGTGGCTGGATTTTTCCTGGAATTGAGCATTAAATTCAGAAGACTGAAGTGCAGGCTCAGTGTCTACCTTTCACAGAGGCCAAGCCATGAGAGGACAGAGGAAGGAACATGACGTTTTGTGATGGCAGATAAAGAGAAAGATGGTGATCGGGACAAGGAGAGAGAGAGAAGGGATAAACGAGGGAATGAGCATTCCAGGCCATGTCGCAGCTGTACTTTGGAAGGAGGTTGAAGAATTATGCAGACAGTGATCACACTGAAGATGAAGAAAAACGACAAGGACAATGCTACTGATGAGGATGCTGGGAAGAAGTTAAAAATAAAGAAGCCACCAAAAAAGAAATCGCGTTATGAGAGATTGTAACAGGTGACGATGTTGTCTGCAGGCCTGGAGGCAAGTAATACATCATGATTGATTTTCTGATTGATGTTAAAAAAGACAGTAATGGATGTCAACATTACAAGGAAGCAGCCTTATCAAGGAGTTCAGATGACATCATGAACTGCAAGTATAATTTAAACTGTTTAATGGTAATTTCATCTCCAATTTCAGGCTATGGCCTTGAAAATCTTTTTTTTAGCTCTTTGCCCCTCTCTTTATCCCTTCAGTAATAAGGTATTGTAATGACGTCACCATTGTGCAGTTCATGTGTATTGATGATTTTAGTAAAGGTTGACTCAGTTATTTGTAGCTTATTGAAATATTTTGTAGTTTGATTCTGAGAAAATATTGCACTATGGAATACGTAGGTGAGAACTCAATATTGAAATGTCCAGTTAAACATAAAATAGAATGCAGTAAATTGTTGTTTGCCATTCTCACCAGAATACCAGAAAATATCACTCCCTCATCATAAGTTCTGCTAGCATGCGAAAGAATTTTGGGCAGCAGCCAGATTTGGAGTTGGAGACTGTTTACTTAGCATGTTAATTTCTAAGAGACAAATAAACTGCAGATGCTGGAATCCAAGGTTGGCCCCCCTTTGTCCTCACTGTCTACCCCACCAGGCTCTGCATCCAACGTGTCATCCTCAAACACTTGCACCAGCTCCACTTAGACCCCACCACCTGGAACATCTTCCACTCCCCACCCTTGTCTGCCTTCCACAAGGACGATTCCTTTTGCCACTCCTTAGTTTGCGCCACACTCCCACCAACCACTCGAACCACACATGCCCCCAGCACCTTCCCCTGTAACTGTAAAAGATGCAACACCTGCCCACACAGCACCTCCCTCACCTCTGTCTGGGGCCCTAAACAGTCCTTCCAGGCGAAACAGAGCTTCACCTGCATCTCCTCCAACCTAGTCTATTGCAATCTGGTGCTCCCGATAGGGTCTTCCTTGAGACCAAAGGTAGACTAGGTCACCGTCTTGCTGAGCATTTTCGCATGGCCTGTAATGGCCAGCCTAACATCCTCATCACCGGCCACTTCAACCTTCCCTCCCCGCCCCACGTGTCCGAATTTGGTCTGTTCCAGTGTTGCAGCAATTCAGAACAACTTATCTTTCACCCAGACACCGTCCAGCCCGGTGGAATCAACATTGAGTTCTCAAATTTCAAATAACCTTCCCACCCATCCCCTGGCTCCCTTTCTAGATCCATATCCTCCCTTCCATTCCACCTACTGACTGTTCCTTCCAGCTACCAATGGGATTAATCCCTCCCATTGACCAACCGGGTTGTACCTACAACTGGTGTCCACCTATCACCATAATTCTTCGACCACCCCTGTCTTCCCACCCCCAGGATTTGAGGGGATTTGCCTGCGGTCACAGAGGAATTGAGATGATAAGTCTGGTGTCTAAGAAGATCCGAAATGGATAGCCTGGACGACCAGACAATTTGAGCGGATTTGGCCTGGGTCCAATTGGATACGTGCAGATTCACCTGGGCCCCCGTAGGATTCGAGAGATTTAACCCAGGGATCCCATTGAATCTGGTCGGGCTAACCTACGGGGCAGCAGATTTCTCTCAGGTCCTAGAGGGTTTGGGAGGGTGATGGGATTCGAGAGAATCTGGCTGCGATCCCAGAGGATTTGAGAGTATGATGCTGGGGTTCCACATCATTTGAGAAGGTTAGCCTGAGGTCCCAGAGAATTCGAGAGGATTAGCCTGGGGAACCAGAAGGTTGGAGAGGATTTGGCTGGGGTGCCTGTTGGATTCTGAAAAAATAAACAGTGAATCCATAATCTCTTCAAATATCCCGCTTTATTTCTTCTTGTATGTTGACTGCGTAATTGCAAGTTGAGACTTCTGCAGCAGTAGCTTTACTCTTGCTTTTTACATGTTTTATTCATTTGAACCTCCTTGAAATTGCAAGCCGTTCCCCATACCCGAACCACAGGGTCTAGACGACAGTCCATTTGGTACGTACACAGTCACAAGCTGATCCCCACACTCGAGCCACAAGCTCCACGTGACAGTCTGCTTGTTGCATACTCTCCACCGTACCTGCAAGTCAGCTTTTTGCAATAGCACATGTAAATTTCACCCTTGTTATGCTGTAGCTTAATCACCCGATTTTCAATATACTCAACAACTCCTCCCTTTTGATTCTTCCCAAACAGAAAAACACAATCAAAGCAGCTGAGAATAATATCTAGGCCACCGAGAGTGTCAAAGAACAGTTAAATACCGAACTTGAGCATTTGCTGAATGCAACTTGTAAGCAACAGAGACAAGAAATACAGAAGAAGAATCACAACAATAAAAAATGCTATAATCAACTTCCCCACCTTGGGCTCTTGTAACAATTCTTACCAGTCTTCAATTCAGTCCCTGGTTACCATTAACACCATACGTGAACTCTCAATTCCCCAGTTCTCTTTTTTGAGGTATCAATATGGCCTTATTTTGGGTGCTTTCACTTCAGCTCACTATCAATGTTTTTGAGTTGGTTTCTCTATGGATTATGTGTCAGTGTTTTATCATTTAAACTATGGTCTTGTCCTCTTCCAAGCTAGACTAATCTGTTTGTCAACGAGGTCTTAATGTCTGAGACCTGTTCTTCAGTGCAAATATTCCCTCATGTTTGTTACCTCTGAAGTAACAATTACTTTTGCAAACTCATATCAGTATCCCAAGACCAGGTCACGCATTCATGACTCTTTTATGATCTTATCAAAAGATCGATGAGATGTTACTTATCTCTCCACCTACACTCCCAATGCCTCAGGCAGTGGCTCGATCACCAAGTTCACCGAGGAAATACAAGGACACAAACATCACCACTTTCCGACTGGGACCTAAAGTTCCTTTTCACTAAAATGCATGTTAACTTCACTTGCTATTTCAACCCATTATTCCAACTTGTTTATCATTTGCCATTACTCTCCATCTTGGATTACTTCATCTCATCCAGTTTTGCAATTCAATTGTTAGCACCTATTCTAATTCCACAGTTGTGAAGAGATTTGTAGTCCATAGTAAATCATATTACAATGTTTTAAAACAGAAGTCCAACATTACTGTTTGATTCAGGCAAAACATATCTTTTTTGATAACCCACATACTTTAAAGTTACTTTACAACTCATTCGATATATTGGATATGTCTCCTAAGTAAATTTGTTGAAATTCAAAAGCCTATTTACTCCCACAAAGTCACTAACTCTTTGTATTCATTGAAATTTCTGATACCCGATACATTTCATGCAGCTTTTCAGTGCTGAGAAGAGTTGTTGACGAATGGCTTGATGGGTTGAGGATGCCTCAGCCATCACTGTGTCGCGACATGGAAAGTCTGCAGGCAGGTTCAGAAATTCATAGCCATCCAAAGAAGCCGTCAGTATCTTTCAGCCACGGAAAAACAAAATAACATGCACAAGATTCACTCGTGTTTAAATAATATTTGGAAGTTCATTCTGGCTAGAAAATGAAATTCCAAACATGATAAATTTGAATTCCAAGAGTTGAATTTTTACCAAGCTTTACAAGCCAATTTTTAAATCAACGTTTTTGCTTTGCACAATAACTGATAGTTCCTTAAATGATCTTTCAATGAAGCATACATGTTTCACACTGATAGAGGCACACAATACACTTGCAAGTCACTACAGATTCCCAAAATGCAAACTAAAATCCAAGCATTCCTTGATCTGCAGCTCCAGAGAATGCACACACAAATATTACACAGGAGAACATTAACCCACCAATGAACAAAGGTGCATTCAAGCCAGACCAGAAAGAGTTAATACATAATTCAGTGTATGCAGCACCAAAAGCTGCTCATGCTCTCTCTCTCTCTCCCCCTCTCTCTCTCCCCCACCCTCTCCCTCTGTTTCTTTTTCTTTCGCAGCCATTCCAGTTGTTGCCACGCCTTTAAGCCTCCCCTTTTCTCGGAGGGGTGGGGTCAAGGGAAAAGTCCTTGGAACAAATTATCGACCATCTTTGACAGCGTGGGGTCATATCCGTGGTATTTGATCCTCCCACCTTTTCCAGTTTTTTGCTGAGACCAGATTTTGCAAAGCTTGGTCTGTAAGAGGGCTATACAGAGCTGCTCATGTTTGCCGTAGTCAGTGGAGGATTTGGCTCTCTTTTGTATTTTGCTTTCCAATTGGCTTAGTGAGGGGTAGAGTTGTTTTCTCCCAGGCTCCGGGATATTCGACTTTGGAGGGTTTGGTTGGGAATCTGGATTCTTTTGCTGGGGACTTTACTCCCGCTCTTCCTGGCTCTTTTTTTGTGCATTTCAATTTCTCACAGCCTTCAATTGTCTTTTCAGCCATGTTTTTTTCTCACTTTCATGACTTGACTTCTGTATTATCTCATTCTATTGTCGAACCTGTCCCATTAGGACAAGGGACCATCTTACTTGTTCTTTGCTTTTTTACCTCCTTATGACTCCTGGCCTGTACCCACCATAAATTAAATGGCTGGTTCTCTTCTCCAGATTGACGAGAACTGGGACTAGAATGTTCACCCCCATTGCCCAACACCTACACTTTACCCAGGTCTCAGGTTGTCCCATGGCCAAAACATAGGGCAGAGGTCTGATATGGTGGTATTGAAAGATTTTTCATTGCAGGAGGTTTCACCTTCTCAGCCAATTTTTGTTTTGTCATTTTAAATTCTTCAGAAAGAGCTTTCAGTTGTTCCTTTAGATTATTAGTTTCCCAAAGATGATTTGATTTGTAAATGTAACCCTTGTTGTGCTGAAGCTTATTTTTCAACATCGTTCACAGTCCCACATTGCCAAGTCAGTGACGTTACCCTTACACCACTGTCTTCCCTTCATTACTCTGAAACCCCATGTCATTTTGAGGAATTCTCGTGACCTGAACTTTGATCACTGATCGTAGCAAAATGTTCTGGACAATGCTTTGATTGCGATAAATATGTTTAGAACCTGAAACAGAAAAATAAAAGTCAAAGCTCTTGTGCATTGACAGCTTGAGTGTGGCAGAAATATTGGGGGAGTATATGTGAACGTGGGCTGCATAAAAGGAGGCATTGAGAACAAAAATAGGGAAGTTTGGCTCCTTATTTGTCAAGCTCTGGTTCTGACTGTTCGTACCGTTGCATTGACCATTCTCAGTGGGCAACAGGCCACTTGTGGTCAGCAAGCCCAATGCTTACAATCCTCAGAAAAGTATCTCTGCCATTAGCTGCGATTCAGTTGCTGAAACTCATTTGTTAAACAACCTGGACTGTGCTAAGAGTTGCTCTTGAATCCAATTCAAAACCATTCGTGAGACCCATGGTGTGATGCATTTGTACGTGCAAGAAGCTACGTACATAAATTCTCAGGACTCTTGGTAAAAGTAATTTGTAAATAAATTTTCACCTTTTTATCAGAAGAGGTCCAGAGAGAGGCAAAGGCTGGTGTATCCCATGGTGATGTCCTGACCAATCAGAATCGACCTGCTTGGTCTGAGATTTAAATTTACTGGTATCTCCATGCAGATTCTGGTCCAACTGCTGATTGCAGCACTCGCTTCTTGTGCTTTTTTTAAATTGGTGTCTTTTCCTTGCCTCCTAGATCTGATGAATACGCGAGAAAAGCTTCAACTTTTTGACCCCTTTTAGCACCATACGGTTAGACAACGAGACTGAGCACTGAGCATGGAAAGGTTTATAAAATCATGAGGGGTATGGATGGCGTGATTAGCCAAGCTGTTTTCTCGAGGGTGGGCAGAGTCCAAAACTAGCAGACATAGGTTTAAGGTGAGAGGGGAAAGATTCTAAAAGGACCTGAGGGATATTTTTTCACGCAGAGTGTGGTGCATGTATGGAATGAGCTGCCAGAGGAGGTGTTGGAAGTGGGTACAATTACACTGTTTCAGACTCATTTGGACAGGTACATGGATAGGAATGGTTCAGGGAGATATGAACAAGTAAATGGGATGAGTTTAGTTTGGGAAACTGAATGAGTTTGAATGAGTTGGCTGAAGGGCCTGTTATTATTTTCTTTTATTCATTTTTGTGGGCTGTGGGCATCACTGGCTGCCCAGCATTTTCTGCCCATCCCCAGTTGACCTTCAGAAGGTGGTGCTGAGCTGCCTTCATGAACTGCTGCAGTCCACCTGCTCATTCATGAGAGAATTCCAGGATTTGGACCCAGTGACAGTGAAGGAATGGCGATATATTTCCAAGTCAGAATGGTGATTGGCTTGGAGGGGAAATTGAAGGTGGTGGTGTTCCCATATATCTGCTGCCCTTGTGTTTGAGATGGAAGTGGACATGGGTTTGGAAGGTGCAGTCTGTGGATCTTTGGTGAATTTCTGCGGTGCATCTTGCAGATAGGACACACTGCTGCTGCTGACTGTTGATGGTGGAGAGAATGAATGCTTGTGGATGTTATGCCAATCCAGCAGGCTGCTTTGTCCTGGATGGTGTTAGAGCTTCTTGAGTGTTGTTGGCACTACACTCATCCAGGAGAGTGAGGAGTATTCCATCATACTCCTGTCTTGTGCCTTGTCGATGGTGGACAGGCTTTGAGGAGTCAGGAGTATACTTACTCACCGCAGAATTCCAAGTCTCTGACCTGCTGTTGCAGCCACTGCATTTATGTCGTGAGTCTGGTTGAGTTTCTGATCAATGATAACTCCCATTTGATAGTGGGAGCTTCAGTGATGGTAACACCCTTGAATGTCAAGGGGCATGGTTATATTGTCTCTTATTGGTGATGGTTGTAGATTGCCATTTGTGTGCAGTGACTGTTGCTTGCCACTTGTGAGCCCAAGCCTGGATTTTGTCCAGAAGTTTTTGCATTTGGACACGGACTGCTTCCGTATCTGATGAGGCAGGAATAGGGCTGACGATTGTGCAATCATTGTCGAACATCCCCACTTCTGACCAAACAGAGTCATAGTCATAGACTCCTACAGCACGGAGACAGGCATATCAGCCTAAACTGGTCCATGCTGACCAAAATGCCCATCCATGCTAAACCGATTTCCCTGCACTTGGCCCACGTTCTTCTTAACCTTTCCTATCCATGTATTCGTCCAAGTGCCTTTTAAATGTTGTCAGTGCATCTGCCTCAACCACTTCCGCTGGCAGCTCATTGCATGTGCGTCTCTCCTTCTGTGTAAAAAAAGTTGCCCTTCAGTTCTCATGGACGTTCCCAGGTATTCTTTCCTGTCTTGCCTTAAACTGATGCTCTCAAGACCTTGATTCCCAAACCCTTTGAAAAAGACTGAGTGCATTCACCCGATCAATGTCTCATGATCTTATGCACTTCGAAATATAACTCCTCAGCCTCCAGACTTCTTTTGCACAGGCTCATTCAAGCAGGAAATGTGTGATGGACACATGCCCCCACCCCATAGCTGCTTCAAGCACAGGTTCTCAATCCCTCCCTACCAGGGGAGGTGCAGTGCCTCTCCCGATAATGAGGATGTCCTCCCCCTGCAGGCAGCGTCGCCTCTCCCTGGTCATGGTGATGGCCTCCTTTCTCCCAGCATCCCTCAGGTTCTCGGGGTGCCGTGCCCGACGGTGAACCACTCCATGAACAGGATTGGCTGGTGGGGTGGTTTGCGGTTGGAATGTAGGGGTCATGGAGATGGAAGACTGCAGGTGTCATTTCTGGTCCAGCCATTTCCAGTTCAGCCCCAGAATGCCCACAATCAGCTATTGAAGGGTCAGGCCTGGGCAATTACAGGATCAGGAATCACTTGCATGGAACCAGGCCCATGTCAGGTGCAGAGGCTTAGGGATCCCGCTCAGGAGCGCAGAGATTGGAGTTACTATGCTTAACCAACACGGGGCAGGGGTTTGGGCTCAGCGTCCTAGCTCCAGGGCAATGCAAGTGCAGCCACAAGGGCACTCTAGAACCAGGGTTGGGTGGGCCCAGATCCCAAATCCAAGCCCGGAATTACAGCCGCCATTTCCGGGCACAAGGGAATGCATCCATTGGGGCAGCTGTCAAGACTCTGGTCATTCTCCATGCCTTCTTTCCGGCCAGATACCTATCTCTCTCCCTGTCAGAGGCTGCCGTAACGGTGACCTCTGCCTCGGGCCCTTCTTGAGAGACTCCATGTGTCACCTTTGGGGCACAAGGAGCGGCAGTGCCACCAGTGAGCCACTGGTGAATCTTTGGCACACTTTGAGGTGGGACAATTCCTCCTCTCATGCCCCAGCTCTTTGAATAAGTGACATACATCTGTTGTCCAGGAGCAATGGTAGGCCAACCCCTCGTAGAGCCCGGGAAATACTCACTGAGTCACCTCTACCCAGTCCATGCAAACAATCACCTGATGCCTGAAGGAGTAGACATGTCCACGTCAGTTTACCCTCCTTAAAACCGAGTGAGATGTGTGCAATTCCGGCCCTCACCTCTCCCAGCAGTTGTAAATGAGGGAGGAGAAGCTGATGGAAACAGCGAATGGGAAGTGGGAGATCACAGTTCTCTGCACCATGACCTCCAAGCATCTCCAGGCTCCTGTCAAAGGAAATGATGACCAATGATTGGCCCCAACAGCACCTCACACCCAGCGCTCTTATTTTGATAATCTTCATGAGGTGATGGATGAGACCATACCTCGTCTTGTCTGTTGAGGATTGACTGCCTGTACCACGTCTAGCAGGATCCCCAAGCCTCTGCACCTGACATGGGCCTGGTTCCACTAAAGCAGGGTGGATCCTCTTCCTTCATGGTAATAGCTGAATGGTGGTATCTGCCAGGCCATGAATTCGCAAATTGTGTTTGGAACAGGATTCTGCTGCTGTTGATTGTCCACAGCATCTCATGAACGCCCAGTCTTCAGTGGCTCGATCTGTTCAGACTCTGCTACATTAAGCACGGTGATCGCTTCATACAAATTGATATAAGATATTTTCAAAATGATGGTGGAATTTCTTCTCCACAAGGATTGTGTGAGTGGTCACTAAGCAGTCACCGAGCCTCCCCTAGTACCACAGTTGAAATCGATAGTACCACACAGAAATCCATCATCAACTTGTCTGACCAAGCCCTTCAACTGGATGAAATTGGTGTTCTAGCCGAGGGCTTAATTTCAGCCCCACTACCAAAGTGGTGCCCATTGGTCAAGAGGCAGACACCGAGGAATGCATCAGTCAAATGAGGCTCCGGAAATTCTTCCACAAACCCCAAGATGTCAGCAGCGAGCCCAATGAGACAACCAATGAACCGGAGCAGTCGACAGACAGAGTGCAGCGACAAAAGAAGAAGGAATCGAATTGGACCCTTCCAGAAGATTACGGCCCTAGGCTGAACATTAATGCTGGAGCTGTCAGGAGATGCGTTAATGCCAGATTCATCAGCCACACTCACACAGTAGCACAGAACATCACCCAAGCACTATGCAATGCCGTCCATGCTCTCAAGACATTCCACTGATAACAGTTGGATGGACTTTTGATCTTTCTGCCTTTAAACTTTGTGTCTGTGTGCCCTGTTCTATCCATGCACCTGATTTCAAATAAACCAGTTGGATGATCACCTGGTGTCATGTGAATTCTGATCCAGCGATGATGTTTTTGACAAATGCATCAGCGACAGACAGATTGGTGAGAATGACTTCGTGTGTGATTTTTCCTCATTGATGGTTCCCTCATCACCTGCTCAGTCTAGCTGAAATATCTGTTACTGCTGCGGCACTGATTCATCAGCTGAGGGAGGACGGATCGTGGTAATCAAAAGGAGGTTTCCTTATCTATGTTTAACTTGCAGCCATTCGAATTCATGTGGTCTGGAGTCACTGTTGAGGACTCCCACGGCAAATCCCTCCCAACTGTGTCGCTACTTCTGCTGGGTCTGTCTTGCCAGTGGGACAGGAGATATCCAGGGTTGGTAGTGATGGTGCCTGACACCTTGTAAGGTATGATTCTGTGAGAATGACTCTGTCAGAGTATTGCCTGACTAGTTTGTGAGAAAGTTCAGCCCATTTTTGCCCTAACCCCCAGATGATCGTCAGGAGGAGTTTCAGGGTCAACAGGATGATGTTTTGTGATTGTCATTTCTGGTTCCTGGGTTGATGCCATCTGGTTCAATTTCTTTTTTTTCAGGCTTTGTAGAGATTGACACAACTGAGTTGATCTTCAGAGCCGTTTCAGTGGGCACTTAAGAGTCAACCACATTGCTATGGATCCAGAGTTACACGTAGGTCAGACCAGGTAAGACCATATGATATCATAGCAGGATTAGGCCAGTCGGCCCATCGAGTCTGCTCTGCCATTTGACCGTGGCTGATATGTTTCCCAAACTCGTTTTCCTGCTTCCTCCCCTTAACCTTTGATCCCGTTTCTCATCAAGAACTATTCTGTTTCTGTCTTAACTGCACTTAATGGCTTGGCTTCCACAGTCTTCTGTAGCAAAGATTTCCACAGCAAAACAACCCTCTAGCTGATGAAATTCCTCCTTATTTCAGTAATAGAGGATCATCCCTTCATCCAGACTCATTGCACCCAGATCCTGGTCTCTGCTACTACTGGAAACATCTTACCCACAGCGAGTGTATCCAGGTTTCTCAGTATTCTGGAAGTTTCAATCAACCCTGAACCACTACACTTCCCCGCCTGCCCCGACGACATTTTTGTAAACTCCATTAAGTACAGATCCAGCAATCTCAACTGCTCCTTATATGATGAGCCCAGCATCACAACAATCATGTTTCTAAGCCTGCTCTGGAACCCTTTCAATGCCAACACATTTTGCCTTCGCTAGGGGGTTCAACAATGTTCACAGTATTCCAAATGCGGTCTGGCCAGAACCTTCTGCAGCCTCAGCAGTATACCTCTGCTCTGAGGTATTAGCCCTCTTGACATGAATTCCAACACTACATTTGTCTTCCTAACTGCTGACTGAATCTACATGTTAACCTGAAAAAAAGAATTCTGCAGTCGGTCTCCAAATTCCATTTCAGCTTTGCAGTTCCAAAGACTTTGCCTTCTTAGAAAATACTGGGCACGTCTATTCTTGCTAGCAAAGTGCGTAACTTTACAATTTCCCACAGTATATTCTGTCTGCCCCTTCTTTACCCACTGGACAAGCATGTCTAAGTGCTTCTGCAGCCTCCCTGCTTCCTCAACACTGTCTGTTTCCCACCTATCTTTGTGTCATCTAAGGATGGCAGATTTCTGATCCAAATACAGTGGGTTCTGGATTAGTAATCTTGAGAAAACACCACAAGGCAGTTGCCTGCCTAATGCAATTTCCCTGTTCAGGGTAAAAGAATGAAATGAAATTTACATCATCTGAAATGTATCAGGCCAAAGGTACAAAGCGGGGACACTCTGTAGTAAATACGCAGTGTCTGAGAGAAGCTTTCCATTTCAAATTGTGTGCAAATAGAACCAAAGTAAATCTATCCAAATGGAACAAACCAAATGGAACAGCAGCATTTTGTGTCACAATTTTCCCACTGAATGCTCGAATACTGTGTGTGCAGGGTGGTTCTACAGGTAGCAACTTCATGGAAAGCAATGTTTGATTACTTTCATAATACAGGTAGGTAAGTTGTCAAGGACAGAAGTGTAAATGGGCACCAGACTTCAGGTAAGACCACAGAATCAATTAATCCATGCTCATTGTTGGATCAGGATGAACAAAACAGTAAGCACTCAAATACTGAAGACAGGAGAGAGGTCTGCAAACAGAAGAATTAACAGTCCAATCATAGAGTCATAGAGTTAGACAGCACTGAACCAGACCCTTCAGTCCAACTGATTGGCACTGACCAGACATCCTAAACTGATCTAGCCCCATTTGCCAGCATTTAGCCTGTATCACTCTAAACCCTTTCTATTCATGTACCATCCAGATGCCTTTTAAATGTTGTAATTGCAGTTGCCTCCAGCACCTCCTCTGGCAGCTAGCTCTATACCCATACCATGCTCCAGTTGAAAAAGCTGCCCCTCTGGTCCTTTTTTAATCTTACCCATCTCATCTGTAACCTATGCCCTCTAATTTTGGATTCCAATATCCTGGGAAAAAGACCTTGTCTATTCACCTTATCCGTGCCCCTCATGATTTTATAAAGCTCTATATGGTCACCCTTCAGCCTCCAACGCTGTGGTGAAAAACGCCCCAGCTTGTTCAGCCTCTCCTTGTGACACAAACCCTCCAGTCCTGGCAACATACTTCTGAGCCTGTTCTGACAACTTTCAAGTTTAAGGAGATCTTTCCTATATGTGATTCAGGAAATTTCCCAACTCCCAAAGATGATTTTGGAACACACTGAATGTGGCAGAAGTTGAAGTCACTATTAGACACATCAAGAATGGAAGAGCCACTGGACTAGACATGATTCCAATGGAGGATTGCAAACTTGGAGGAGCAGGGCTCTCCCGTCATTTGCACTAACCGTTGGGATGCTACCATTGTCACTGTCTTCAAGCAAGGAGACAAACTGGACTGTGGGAGCTACCGAGGAACCTTGGTATTGTCCATTGCTGAGATAGTCATCACTCAAATCCTCATGGGAGCTTTCTCCCAATTCCTGACGAAATCCTTCCTGAAAGCTAGTAATTAAATAAATTCAGCCAACACTTCCAGGGTAATTAAGGATGAGTGGGGATAGAAATAAAACTGAGACATCCTTAAATAGTTCAAATTTAATCATAGCATAGAAATGTGATTAAAATGCAGGGGTCCAAATGAACCCAAAGTGAGCAATTCATATTATACCAACGTAGTGCATTGCTGTAGTGCCCTTGGTGTCTGGGTGTCATTCTAACGTTTCCATTTGCCCAAAGAGGTGATATACATCAACTTCTCAGAGGGTACGCTTGAGCAATTCCTGAAGCTCTCTGGATAGGACTGTAAGCATTTTGATGCCCAAGAAATTTTGTCACAATCTGACAACTTTTTGATGAAAATATGATTGAAATTGCCTCCATTTAGGGAGTTTGGAAGAAACACCTTGAAAATCTTGCCAGGTTGAGACAAGGTGGTATGATATCGCCCATGGGAGCAGCACTCTAACTTCCTGAACCAATACACTTCTTCACTGATCAACTGCCCTCTTGCAGTCAATACCAACTTGTCTGAAAATTCTTTCTACATGATTACTGCTGTCAAAATAAATGAACTTGAACATCATATCTGTCCATAGAGTCATACAGCACAGAAACAGACCCTTCGGTTCAACCAGTTCACATCGACCATAATCCCGAAATGAGCTCGTCCCATCTACCTGCATTTGGCCCATGTCCTTCCAAACATTTCCTTTTCATGTACTTATGTCTTTTACCTGCTCTAATTGTGCCCAAATCCACCACTCCCTCAGGATGCTCATTCCACATGCAAGCCATCCTCTTTTTCAAAAATTTGCCCCTCATTTCTGTTTTAAATCTCTCTCCACTCACCTGAAAGATGTGCGCTCAGTCTTGTCAGACAAACTGTCCAAAACATTGAGGAGTCCAGCACGTGTCAGAGAGCAGGGACCCCATGGTTTGTGAATGAAAGGTTTGTTTTTATTGCTCGAAAGAAGAGTTTTATCTGACGCAACCTGTTAACTCGATTTCTCTACACACAAATATTGCCTGACCTGCTCAATTTCTGCATAAATTTCTGTTTTCGTTGGAATTGTCAGCATTTTGCTTTTATTTTCTTTCATTTTGGTCAAAGTATTCAAATTCAGTCTTGTCATTCGACTGCCTACAGATATATAAAATTAAGAGAGGCGTTGGGAAGGTAGACCGTGAGATTCCACTTGACGCAGGAATCAATGACCATGTGCGTAGATTTAAGTTAAGGAGCAGAATGTTTACATGACACATTAAGAAATGCTTCAGGTGATAAAAGCAGGAACTGTCATTACAATTCAGAAGCATTGAAAAGTGTGCTTACTTTGCCATTTCCATGTGCTGGAAAATAGTATTGAAATCATTACGTGGTTGGTTTTGATCAGTGTAGAAGTGACGGACTGAAGAATCTATTCCTGTGCTTTAGATCTCTATGACTCTATAACTGTGTTATGTTTCCAGCTGATTGCATTGCTGGTCAAGATGCATCCTCGATTGAAATCTGGCCTATTTGAGCAGATATTTTGTTGTAGTTGTCAGAGATAAAGTGATCATTGCTGGGAGAAACAGACATTTACACGACAGCAGGTACATGCTTCTTGCTACAAATGATAAAAACAAAATAATTAACAATAAAGCTATCTAGACAGAGAACAAAATTTGAAAGTTTTTAAAACATGCATTAGAGCAATATGTCATCTATTCTTTGACAGCATCAGTTTACAAAGAAACAAATGCACGAAGGTATACTTTGATATCAAACTTGTGTGTTGGACTGAGAATCATAGAAACAGGCCCTTCAGCCCAACAAGCCCACACTGACCCCCAGAGGATCCCACCCAGACCCGTCCCCCTATAACCCACCTAATCTACACATCCCAGAACGCTACAGGCAATTTAGCATGGCTAGTCCACCTAACCTGCGCATCTTTGGACTGTGGGAAGAAACCGGAGCACCTGGAGGAAACCCACACAGACATGGGGAGAATTTGCAAACTCCACACCGACAGTCGCCCGAGGGCGGAATTGAACCTGGGTCCCTGGCCCTGTGAGGCAGCAGTACTAACCACTGAGCCACTGTGCCACCCCTAATTGACTTGATTGATCTTTCCCAGTTCTTTGCAGCTCACCGTCATCTTATTACCTGAATATTTGCAATTTTGAGAATTTAGGCTTCATTACATTTGAATAACCTGCAGATCTCGAGCCAAACAATGTTAGCATGGATGTTAAACATGCTTTTCTCACTTAGTCCACAATCAAAAATGAAGTAAAATTTTAAAAATGTGGATTTTACATATTGGCAGCATGATGTTGAAATTGAACTGAACTGTGCAAGTTGCTGAGTTAATAAGTTCAAGGAATGCTAATGCCTGCAATGGTGGCAGATGTGGAAGGTCATGGAAAGTTACCATAGGGCAGATGTCTACAGCTTCTTCAAGTGACACATTGGATAGACTGACAATGTCAAATGAGAACAATGTCAAATTACATCACTATTGATAAGGAGGTCCTTGCGAATGTGGAGGCATTCTTCACCGTGATTGAAGAATTTGCTCAAAATTGCTTATAGCTGTTCACCAAACCATTTGGCCAGTTGATATTGTGCAATACTGTTCATGTAAAAGTGCATAAAGGCACTTCAGTTA